TGCCTCGCAGTGAGGCACAATCATATTTGGGCGGCCGGCCGCTTGAGCCGACGCGGCGGCGAGCGCACGCTCGCTTCCACTCCTTACGTCCCCCAGCTCGCTTTAGAGTGCTGAAGGCAGGCGGTGAACGCTGCCAGGAGAGCTAAGCGGCCAGCGTGCGGGTATCCCAGAGGCGAGACCACCGGGAAGAGGACGAATTGAACCTTGTCGCACCAGGCGCCAGAGGTAGAAGCGAACCAGTGCTGCATGTCAACGGAGACAACTTCACATGGTTGAACAAGAAGGCAAGAAGGCTGAACCACTCCTGAGCAAACCACGTAAGGGCGAATCCCACCATGCAGGCGGCAACTGCAAACACGGCCAGGCTGTGGCGGGATGGTAGGAATACGCGAAGCATAAATAATCTATGCCATATGTTTCCAAGTCGAGATCTCGCCTTTTCGGGCGAATGGCCCGAGAGACCCCCAAGAATGACAAAAGACGGTTCAAGAGGCCCCCAACAAGGCCCAGAGACGCCCAAAGAGGGTTCTAAAACTGCCCAGTAGGCCTCCAAGACTGCCTAGGCTCGCGAGAGGGTCCCCAAAGAGAGCCATGTTGGGGAACTCGCTGGGGCCCCGGAAGCCCTCCCCCACAAGATGGCCTCCCAAGGCCCCAAGCCTTTTCGCAAGAGGGCCCCCCAAAGCCTGCTCTGGAGGTCCGCGGGATGACATAAGCCTCTTGAGTGTTATCAGCTAGCGATTGGTTCCTCATCATCGTAACCCCACCTCGGACCCCTGCCAAAGATCCTTCGAGGACAACGTACATCTCAAACTCCCAAAACCTTAAGCACCTGAAGCTTCTTCTCCTACTCCGTATCCTTCTTTACCCAAGTACATCCTTATCCTCCCCTTCCTCCCACCTCCTAATCAGCCACGGTGCCTTCAGCACGTAGTGGAGTGCCCCAAGGCTCATGCAGCGCTGCAGCCCTGCGAGGTAGAGAAGTTGTAGGCCCGGACCCTCGGTTTCCCAGCCGCTCCAGGAGTCTCCTCGGAACTCTTGGAAACTCCAAGGGACTCCCGGGAGCCTCTTGGCCGGCCAACACGACCAAGACGACCTCCCGAATCCTCGAGAGCGCCTCAAGAACCGCCTCAGATGGCCAAAGAGGGCCCCGGAGCGGCCCATTGTGGCCCCAAGACGGCCCGACGGGCCCACAAGACGCCTCAAGTGGGCCCCGAGAGCACCCCGAAAGGCAAAAAGCGGCCTATGGGGAAACGTATAGGTTCAACATACTCGCCTCCTGGGCGTTCACAGCGTCTAAGGCGGCCCAGGAAGCCCCCAAGATCACCCCAAGACGGCTCAAGAGGGCCCCAAGACGGCACAGGAGGCGCCCAAGACGGCCCAAGAAGGATCCAAGAGGGCCCCAAGATGGGGAACTCGAGCTGAGATGCCGAGCCCTCCGCCCCAAGGGGCCCCCCCCGAGATCACCAGTAAGCCCCCAAGAAGCCCCCCAAAGGCCCCAAGAGGCCCCCTAACGGCCCCCTAACGGCCCTAAGAGGCTTCAGAAAGTCCTCCAAGAGACTTCCCAGAGGCTTCCCGATAGAACCTAATAAGCATCCAAGAAGCCACTACGTTGGCGGAATGAGCCGAAGGCCACAACGGTGGCCGCCGCCTGCTGTTGATTTATCACAGAAAGGTGCCTGTCGTGCTGAACCCTATACGGCTTGTGTTTGTTTTTTCCCGAAGAACTCCCCCTGAAGAATCGGTCCATGTCGCCGGCCACCCGAAAGGCCCCGCCGCTGCGCAACCAATGTCTTCAAGACGGCCTCGTCCAAGACGGCCAAGATGACCAAAGATGCCCTCCAAGTTCGCCCAAGATGGCCTCCAAAACGAACCACGAGGGTCTCAAGATGCCTCCGAGTCCGCCCAAGAAGCCACCCTGTCGGCCAAGATGGCTCCAGAGGCTCCCCAGGGGCCTCCAAGACGGCCAAAGTGGCCTCCAAGAGGTTCCCAGGAAGGCCCGAAGAAGCAAAAGTCATTGGTCTTCTTACTGATGTTGAAGGATTATCATTGCGTCATGTTCTTCTTGCTTCATTGCTTCTCAATGTTGCTAATGTTGAGACGAGATCATTGGCAGATGCTTCTTTTCGGCATTCCGATGGCCCAAGAAGGCCCAAGAAGCCCCCAAGATCGCCCCAAGATGGCTCCGAAGGCCCCCGGCCCACGAAGCCTCAAAGACGGCCCCAAGAGGCCTCCAAGTTCGCCCAAGATGGCCTCCAAGACTGCACAAAAGGGTCCAAGACAACCTCCGATCCAAGACGGCCCAAGAGGGTCCAAGATGCCTCCCATCCGCCCAAGAAACCTCTAAGACTGCCCAAGCCGGCCCAAGGCGGCACAAGAAGCCTCTAAGACGGCCCAAGGGGCCTCCAAGAGGATCCCAGGGGGGCCCAACGAGACAGAAATTATTGGTTTGCTCCAAGTGATTGAAAGATGTTGGCATTTGCTTCAGTTCGGCCTTACGACGGCCCAAGATGACCCAAGAGGCCCCCAAGATCACCCTAAGATGACCCAAGATCATCCTAAGATGACCCTTACGACGACCCAAGATGACCACATGACGGCCCAAGAAGCCTCCAAGACTGCCCCAAGAGGGCCTCCAAGTGCGACGAAGATGATCCAGGATGGCCTCCAAGACGATCCAAGAGGGTCCGATATGGACTCCAAGATGGCCCAAGAAAGAGGTTCCCAGGAGGGCCTGGGGAGGCCAACATCATTGGTTTATCTAGGTTTTGTTTGTCGTGTGCTTATTTTCTGCCTTCCGACGGCGAGACAGGCCAAGAGCCCCTCAAGATCGCCCAAGAGGCCTCAAATATTGCCCCAGAACGGGCCAAGACGCACCCAAGCTGGCCCCAACCCAAGACGGCCCAAGAGGCCTCCAAGACGCCCAAGATGGCCTCCAAGACAGCCCTGGAGCACCCCAAGAGGGCCCCAGATCAGTCCAGAGAGGCCCCCAAGACGGCCCCCGACGGCGTCAGACGGGCCAGAAACGCCCTAAGACGACCAAACAGGCCCCCAAGAGGCCCAAGGAGACCCCCAAGATGTATCCAAGAGGGCTCTCGGAAGCTCCCAGGACTGCCCCTCCTCCTCCTCCTCCTCCTCCTCCTCCTCCTGAACTTCCTCGCCATCCTCCCCCAAACGTTCCCGGAAGGGTTACCACAACGGGCGGGGGAATACATGGCGATATCTTGGCAGAGCCCTGGCCACAACTTTCAGCCACAGGGGCGATTCCAAAAGGCAGGGGGCGGCGGTGTTTCTCCGCAGGCGTCTTGGATCCGCCGCCCCCTTGTTGAATGATCACAGGGCTGCCTGGCGTGCTGAACGTATGATGGTTTCTGGTTATTTTGCAAAAGCTCCCCTCAAAGCTTCGGCCCAGCGCGCAGGCCACCCGGAGGCCGCGCCGCTGCGTAAAAACACGTGCCCAAGACTGCCTAGATGGCCTCCAAGACGGCCAAGATGGCCTCTAAGATGCCTCCAGGACGGCCGAGGTTGCCCCAAGCGTCCAAGATGGCACCAAGATGGCCTCCAAAACGGTCCGCCTCCAAGACCGCCAAGCTGGTCCAAGAGAGCCCATCACGCCCAAGAGGCCCCTGAGACGGCCCAAGAGGCCTCCAAGAGGTCCTCCAGGACGTCCGAAGACGGCAACATCATGTGTGTTCATTCGGTCTGTTCAAGGGATTTGGCATTTGAATCAAAATAATCGTCAGACGGCCCAAGACTGCCCAAGAGCCCTCAAGATTCCCCCAGGATCGCCCAAGAGGCCGCCAAAATGGCTCCAGAACGGCCCAAGAGGCTCCCAACACGGCCCCAAAGTCCCCAATACGGCCCAAGAGGCTCCAAGACGCCCAAGATGGGCTCCAAGACGACCCTGGAGCAGCCCCAAAGGGCCCCAAGTCAGTCCAGAGAGGCCCCAAGACGGCTTCCGACGGCGTCAGACGTGCCATTACAAATAACTCCTCCCTGTCGCACCCCGAGGCCAGTCGTAACAGCGGGCCGAGCGTTTCGCCTGAGACGTCCCCACCATTTATGATCCTGAAGCTTGAGCATTTGCAACAATTTCACGCATGGAGGGCGGACCGCTTCCACAATGTTGCTCTCGCCTTAGCGCCGCGCGCATTCGTCTTAAACATTCGCAAGAATGCCACGGGTTGAGGGCGGGCCGTCTTCAAACTGTGGCTCTCGCTTTAGCGCCACGCACATGTTTAAACATTGCAAGCATTTCACATGTTGAGGGCGGTTCCTTCTCAAAATGTGGCTTTCACCTGAGCGCCGCGCGCACTCGTCTGAAGAAATTGTGGAAGTTTGACGGCCTCCCATGGCTAACGTATCAAAAACTGAGATTCGGAACGATTCAGGACTGTCAAGTAGCGACAGTTACGGTTATCGCGGTGATTCGCGGTGGTGACGTCCCAGAGACGGTGTTCTGGCACGAATCGGGATGGTCAAGTCGCAACTGTCAAATTGATTCGTGGCGTTGACGTTCAGAGAATCGTAATTCGGCACGCTTCAGGATCTTCCAACGGTTGTTTCCCAGCCGGGCATTTCCCAAGTGGAAATGGACCCTTGTATGGGGCCTATGAAGAGGGAGCTTGGAGTGATGACGTATTCCAATATCGTTGATGAGACTTGGGTTTGCACTGGTCCTCCTCCTCCTGATCTTCCTCGACATCATCCCCCAAAAGTTCCCCGAAGGGTTTCCACAACGGCTGGGGGAATACATGGTCTGATAGCTTGGCAGGAGTTCTGGCCACAACATTCGGCAACATGTGCGATTCCAGAAGACAGGGGGCGGCGGTGTTTCGCCGTAGGCGTCTTCGATAACATCCAGCGTCTTAAATGCCTCCTGAACTATCCTGCCTCCTCCTCCTCGTCCTCCGCCTCGTCGGCCCCCTCCTCATCTTGCATTAGTTAACTTCCTTCTTCTCCCCCTCGGCCTCCTCCAGAGCCCCGCTGCTGACAGAGAGCTCCTGCGCGCAGTAGAACGCGTCCACCCTCTTCAGGTTCGTCTCGAGCTCCTCCCATTGGCACGGAGAATGCTGGGGCGGGGGGGGGGACGAGGAGCGAAGATGTTTGGGAGAATTGGGGGGCGGCGGGCGGAGAGTGGTGGGGATGGGGAGGGGCGCGACCAGGGGGAGGGAGACCGGGAACGATCGAGGCAGGGGAGGAGGGAACATTCGTTCTCGTTGTTGGTGTCGCTGTTGGTGTTGGTGTTGGTGTTGGTATCGGTGTTGGTGTTGTTGTCGTTGTCGTTGCTGTTGTTCGGTAAGGCCTTGGCACCAGCCGCGGCTTGTTGTTTAGATATTCTTCTTCTTCTCTCAAAACTCAAGTACTGATCCTTAGGGGTAAGAAAAGCTCCAGCAACCGAGGGCTTCCCAACGGGGCCGGAGAAGGGGTTGGCACTGGGGCGGCAGCGCAAGGTGCCCCACGGGGCCGGAGAAGGGGTCGGCATTCCTGGCGCGTTTCCAAGGGGTTCCCCAAAATTTCCGCGAATCCCTCAGGATTCTTTTGGATGTCTGAACACCCCTTCTGGACTCTCTAGGATCTCCCAGGATTCCTTAGGACCCCCCAGCATTCCCTGGGATTCCTCAGGAGCCATTCCGCCGGACCCCCGAGGATTTCTCAAGATCCTCCAGGATTCCTCAGGCTCCTTCCGGAGATCCCCAAGATTCCCCAGGATCCCCGAAGAATCCTTGGGATCCCAAATGATTATTCAGGATCTCCCCGTGGGGTTCTCAGGATTCCGCCGGGCTCCTCATGATTCTTCCGGATATCTTCGAAGTCTTCAGGATCCCCAAGGATTCCTCAGGACACGTCAGGATTCCTCAGGATCCACCGTGTCTCCCCAGGACGCCGATTGACTGCTTAGGATACCTCATGGTTCCTCAGGATCCCCTCCGGGTACCCCTCAGGATTCCTCAAGACTACTTAGCATTCCTCAGGATTCCCAACGATTCCTCAGGACCCCCCAGGATTTCTCAGGATCCCCCAGGCTTTTTCTGGACTCGTCAGGATTCCTTCGGATTCGTCGGGATTTCTCGGGACCCTTCAGGATTCCTCAGGACCCCTCCCGAGTCCCAAGGATTCTTCAGGCTCCCGCAAGAATCCCGGGAATCCCCAGCGACTCTTCTGGATCTCCCCTTATGGGGTTCTAAGGATTCCGTTGGGTTCCTCAGGATTCTCCTGGATATCTTCGAACTCTTCAGGATCCCCAAGGATTCCTCAGGACACTTCAAAACTCCTCAATACTCCTCAGGACCCCCAGGATCCCTCAGGACTTCCCAGGACCCTCCCCCTCCAAATGAGTCCGATAGATCTTCCCCAGGATCCACAACGATTCTCCAGGATCCCCCAAATTCCTCAGGATGCTGAAGGCCTCCTCCGGTTTCCCAAGGATTCCTCAGGATACTCTCTGGGTGCCCCTCAGGTTTCCTCAGGACCCCTTAGCATTTTTCAAGATTCCACAGGATTCAGCAGGATCCCCAAGGCTTCCTTTGGACTCATCAGGACTCCTCAAGATTCGTCCGGACTCCTCAGGATCCCTCCCGAGGCCCTAGGGTTCCTCAGGATCCCGCAGGAACCCTTGGGACCCAAAAGGATTCATCAGGATCTCCCGCGGGTTTCTCCGGATTCCGCTGGGCTCTTCAAGCATCCTCAGGACATATTCGGATTCCTCAGGATCCCCTAGACTTCTTCTGGGCCCATCCGGATCCCTTTGGATTCGTCAGGATTCCTCGGGACACCTCAGGACTCCTCAGGAATCCCGAGGACTCCCCAGGATTCCCCAGGACCCCCCCTCCGAAAGAGTTGCATGGATTCCTCCTCAGGATCCACGGTGATTCCTTATGATCCCCCAAGGATCCTCAGGATGCCTGATAATCCCGAAGGAACCCTGAGGATTCCTCAGGATCCCCTCAGGGTGCTCCTCAGGACCTCTCCGGACTCCGTCGCATTCTTCTGGGCCCCCCAAGATTCCGCAGGACCCACAAAGATTCCTCAGGATTCCCTCGGCTACCTCTGGCCTCACATCATGTCTCCTCAGGATTCGCTGGGATTCCTCTGGACCCTTCGAGATTCCTCAGGATCCCTCCCGCGCCCCCAGGATTCCCCAGGATCCCACAGGAACCCGTGGGACCCCCAAGGGTTCTCCAGGATCTTCCCAGGGTTTCTCAGAATCCCGAGGGGCTGCTCAGGATTCCTCCGGATATCTCAGAATTCTTCAGGTTCCCCAGGACTCCACAAGACCCCCCAAGGGCTCCTCGCCTCGGGGTTCACCAGGACCCCCCCCCCCCTCCAAAGAGTCCGATGGCTTCCTCCTCAGGACTGATGCCTCAGGATCCTCCTCGAAGGTTCTCCAGGATGCCCCAAACCTCTTTACGATCCCACAGGATTCCTCCGGATCCCCTCATTTTTTCCCCGCGCTGCAGCCCACTTACGCCACTCAGGGTGGGCGAGGTCCTGAGGGGAAACAGCCACAGCCGTACCCAACCGCACTGAGCAGTCGGTACGGAATCGTCTGCGACAGAGAGGTGGGTGTGCCTGGGCGCGAACCGAGACCAGGCGACAGAGACCCACCTCAGCGTGGCCCCACACAGGCACACAAGGACCAAGGGGACCCTGCTACACCTGGACGAGGGCCAGAGAGGCACGGCAGGGCACAGTGCCACAGTCCACCCACGGGACAAGACAACGAGGCCCTCGACACAGGAGGACGCGCGACAACGAACCCACCAGAGTTAGGCGGGTAGGAATGCCGCTCGCAAGATCCTGCCCGTGGAATGTGCCTCGGCGCCCGCAAGCCACTCGACTGTGCCCAAGGACATGCGGAAAACACAAGGCCACGGCTGCGAGAGCGTCGGGGCTGGGAGCCAAGCTCCTGTCCGCAGCGACACCCCCAGCCCATGACCACGGGGCGATAGCCCCCGAAATAAAAGCGTGGGCCCCACTGCACGAAACGCACGCGTGCACGCACACGAACCGAGAGGAAGGCCAGGCGATGGGGCCAGGGACAACTCACCAGGCCACAGCAACGCCGTGGGAGCGACAGTCGGGATAGATGCACCCCCGTGCTCCCCCCAAGAAAACCATCACCTCCGCGCGCACTTCCCCCAGAAGGTGGGGTGCCTGACACACGTGCGGAAACGTGCGAACAAACAAATAAGGGCTAACACAAGGACGACGAGGCTGCCCCAGGAGCTGACGCGCCTGGCCCAAGTCCTCGCCCCAGATGCACAGCCAAGCATAGGCTTGAAGGCAAAAGAAAACGCATGTCGACCACCCACATAAGGACGACGAGTCCACCAACCCCTGGTGCAGCAAGCGCCAGGACGGCTGGTGACCTCGCCCCAGATGTGGGGCATTGCACGGATGCCTGCCAAAAGGGCCAGACGCATCGGGCCGTGCAAGGAGAAAGGGACAAACACAATGTGAGAGACCTCGTCGACCCCGTGGGTCAGGGGTCCAACACAAAACAACAGGCTAGTCCGAGTCCGAGGAAGACGAACCAACAGGACAACCGCCAGCAGCTCGGACCAGTCGATTGACTTTCGCTTGAAAGGATGGGGCGGAGGCCGACCGAGCAGGAACAACAGTGGGCTCCAGGTCGCCTTCATCTGCCAAAGCAGCTTGCACTTGACGGAGAGCAACCCGAGAGGCATCAACCCCGCTCGGGGGTGAAAAGACTTTTGACTCCACAGCAGGACCGAGGGAAGACGACGAAGACGACGGCTCCACGACTCTTTCAGACTGTGAGTCAAATAAAGACTTGGAGGCGTCCTCCCCCTCTTCGAAACCTTCAAACGGGGCCTCAGCAACAGGCGATAACTGATGGGGGTCATCAGCACCTGGGGCGGCAGACGCGCACACTGGCGGCGGCAGCATACCAAGGCCCACCTGTGCTGCGCCAATCTCTTCGCCAGGAGCCACAGCCGTCGGAGCAACAAAAGACACGAGCTCTCCATCGTCGCAACTAGTTGCTTCTCCAATGGGAGGGGCCCTGGAAAAAAGAACATCAACATACACTCGGACCTGGGACTTGTCGTGCTGAGGGTGAAATCCCTGCAGCAGCTTCTTCCACTTGGATTCTTGCCGCGGGTCCATGGTCCCAGGGCCAGGGCAGCGTTTCAAAAACAGGTTCGATTTGAGCGGTGAGCCCGTCGAAATCAGAGCCGTGCAATGAACGCAAACATACAAAGTGGAATGACCAGAGCAAGCTAGGCCGACAATCGAGTGATTGTTAGCTCGGACTTTGACGAAATCCAGTCCAGGGGCGGGTCCTGTGCACTTCCTAGGCGGAGGGGTGGGACGCGCACCGAGCTTGAACGTGAAACTGGTTCTGAATGCCTCGAAGCAGGCAGTGCACCGCCAGAATCCCCCGATCCTGGAAAAAGAGAACACGTCTGAGGCCACATCAGCAGCCTTGGAGCGGTCGGGCTTGACATACTCTACTTCACCGTGCTCCTTGAGTGAGGGGAAACGGGGCAAGAGCTTCATCGCCGAATTGCAAAACGCATCAGTGTATTTAAGACGCAAGTCGGTTTCATCCAGCACATCGCGGTCAATGGGATGCATCAAAACCGCTGCCTTTGCGCCTAAATCCGCAAGATGGTTCCCCGTCCTGCGATAAATTCCATCATCAGACAAGCCGGCCTCGTTTAAACAGAGATGGGCCTTGACTTTGATCACATTTTCCAAAAACTTGTGGGCTTCGTCTGCCCTGGCCTGGACGATATGTCCAGCATATGCCTTACGAAAGTGGGCGTGCAAGTCTGGCGCAGCGTGGTAATCGTTCACCACATTGGCGCAATCAGACAGAATGGAAGCAGGACCCTTCAGGCACATTACTGAACCAGTAAAAGCAGAATATTCGGCCGCTTGAGGTGACTGACGAAGTGGCGGATGCACAGGGCATCGGATCTCGCAAATGCGCACCCCGTTCTTAAAAGCATTGCAACTCCATCCAGCGCGACAAACATCCAGCGCGACAAAGCTCTCGGATGGGATGCCGCGTGCAAGAGCC